CTGTAGTCGAACGGTGAGACGGACGTGTAGTTCAGTTTTGGGCACGCGTACGGTGCTGCAGGGATTATATATAGGTGTAGTAGTACCTCTTCGGGCTCTTGTACACCTTTTTCTTGCTACGTGTGCGTGTTCTTTAGATCCTCAGATGGCTCTAGCACTTTCGCGACCATGGGCTGAGAGTCTTTCGCTAGATTTTGGCATTTAGTGACTGACATACGGTTTAATGTGAAGACAACAACAACAACAACAACATCACCCGAAACTACCCCATCTTAGGATTCGTACTGAGAGACGTCCGCGCAGCGGATTCTGGAGCGGTCTCTTTTGTCACCTCCGTGAGAACGGTTGCTATGTTTCGGTCGGTGGCGATTGTCGCAACAGCTCCACACCCTCGCCGCCGCTGTGAATTTGGCCGGAAAATACCATACTTGTTAGAGTTTCACTGGATAGACTCCGCCGATTGAAAAACTGACCGACAATAACACGCGTATGTCCTGTTCGCACGTGTGTACCGAACCGCAAGAGCCAGTTCGTAAATGGCATCGAGTATTTCACGTTCTCCTCTCGCTGTGTAATACCAAGTCAAATCAAGGTTTGGCGTCGTCAACCGGACGAGCGGAAAAACTTTGTTTTGGTCAGAGAAAGCCGAATAATAGGCGTGCCACGCGCATACAACATTTTCGGGGGTCAGGCGCAGGGCTAACAGTACAGATTTGGCAGTTGTTGTTGTTGTCTTCACATTAGAAACCATNAACCTGTCTCTTATACACATCTAGATGTGTATAAGAGACAGATCCAGTACCTCCTTCTGTCTCAATCTCTCCGTACTAATCCAGCACTTGACTCGGTCAATTTCCGTGGTCACAGGCTAACGTACCTAGAAAAGGTATACCAAAATAAAATGGACCCCAAGGGTTAGCAGAGCGATAAAATACAAGGAAACAAAAGAATCAGAAACAAACAAATAAATAAATAGTGGAACGTGCGCACCACCAGCCTGGGGGGTAGCCTTCCGGAAGGACCCCAAGGGTCAACCGACGGTCGTACGTGCCAGTAAAAAAACAAAACAAAAACGAAATAAACCAAAGACAGACGAGGACATAAA